GGAGCAATGACGTCACCAATCGCCTAGGGACGCATGTCGTTCGGTACCTTCCAGACCTCGCTGTTTTCGCGAGACCCCATTATGCGCTTCTTAGATGTGGCCTCACGGTGTGGATACGATGACTAAAAACTCGGTACCAGTAAGACCGCAGAAAGGACATCCTTGTCCTTACAGTATGGTAGCTACTGGATGCAGGTTCATGAACACTGTCATTCTTCCATGGTTGCTTGATCGTTGTCTGCTGTTGCTTGCCTTGGCCTTCCACGGGTGTCCAGAGCTGCAATTTGCTTTGTACGGATCACAAGAGGCAAAGGGCAAATTACTGCCTTGCCGTCTTAAAAATGACCTCCGAAAGCAAAATTACTGTTCTGCTGTTTTATTTCTGACCGACTACATGTACTAGCTAGTACTCCAAATTGCGATACCGGTACCGGTTTGGCCATATCAAGGAGCTATCATGCCCATCAAGTTCTCCAAAGATGTCTCTACCCACCTGTTCAAGTACATCAGAACGATTGATATAAAGTTCAATGGTGCGTACAGTAGCCGATGAAGTCTTTCTGCCTACTCCAGGCCTACTCATTCATTCGTTCTCCCTCGTGAGCCTTGGACGCACGTGCGACATCAGCCAAGGAACTCATCAGACGAATGAAGGCACCGCGACTTAGCAAAGCCAATTCCAAACTCAAAGTTCTGGTTGATGTCAACTCCAAATCAGATCCTCCATCAGTACTGTTCAAGATGGTGGACGAGTCAGAGCTATTCTTTGACAGCCGACAATTTGACATCGAAGAAATGATGTTCAAGGTACATGTGACAACCATGCAGCTTGATAATCAGTTCGAAATTGATGGGAAAGATATTGATGAGATCGACTAGATAGATAACTGGTCAGAGTTGGTATTTTGACAGACAGATTTGATAAAGGGCTTCTTTGCTGCTATTAAGGACAGCCAGCCGGAGGCTAGTGCCCTCAACTTGCATTTTTCTAAAGGCCAAGGAAGGGTTCGCTAGCCTTAACCTTGCAAGGGAAACCGTACCATATATATGTATCTGGTTTGATCGCTAGCCTTAACCTTGAAAGGGAAACCGCATCATGTGTATCTGGTTTGCTCGCTAGCCTTAACCTTGCAAGGGAAACCGGACCATATGTACGCGACACACACACACACACACACACAGCACTCAACGTACACACACCCACACAACAACACATCACCACACACAACACACACTACCAGCCCATCGAGTATTGGATTTACGGTTTAGTTTAGCTTGGTTTCGGTCTATACCGTACCAGCTCCTATGTGTCTATTTTCGAAATCACCAAAAAGGGTACCCTTGCTTTTCTCACAGCCTACCCGGCTTGTATCTTTTGCCATCCCCAGCTTGCTCCACTGATGAAGCAAAAAGCGAAATTCTAAGCTCAGAATTTGAAAATCAGCAAGCAACGGTATACCCCATGGAAAAACATCCAATGGTAGATTCGTCGTAGATTAACTTAGTAGTGTCTACACACATCTCACACAACATCACACATCTCACACAGCACTCAACGTACACACACACTACACACACACACACAAATCCAGCCCATCGAGGTATGGATTTACGGTTTAGTTGCTTGGTTTCGGTCTATACCGTACCAGCTCTATGTGTCTATTTTCGAAATCACACAAACAGGGTACCCTTGCTTTCTCACAGCCTACCCGGCTTGTATCTTTTGCCATCCCCAGCTTGCTCCACTGATGAAGCAAATTTGGAAATCAGCAAGCAACGGTATACCCCATGGATAAACATCCAATGGTAGATTCGTCGTAGATCAACTCTTAGTAGTATCTACACACATCTCACACAACACCACACATCTCACACAGCACTCAACGTACACACACCTACACACACACACACAAGATAAAGTTCAAAAGGCCCTCAGCTTGCTAGCTGGTAGTTGAGGGCAATTATAGTACAATCGTGGTGCCACCTAGGCCATCAAGGTTTGTAGGAGAACAAACCTTTAGTCGCATTATGGCCCAGCTTGGATTATATTCTGCAACAAGTTGGGCTGCTACATTGAATGAAAGAGACTATCCACTTTCCTTATAGAACTGGCCCAGACATATGGATCAGTTGCTGGTTGAGATCCAATGCCTCCAAAACCTCCAGGTTGGCATCCAGCAATTCTTGGGAACCACTGACATGCACTAGAACCTTTCGAGCATTCAGTTGAATAAGTCAAAAGGCCAGTGCTAGCAGCAGATTGCATTGGCACAAGCCATCTTGGCCACCTGAGGACAGGAGGACAACACAGTGGCAAGAGTTCTTTGGGGCATTTCTTGGTGACACTGCGGCCCTCAGAGAATGGACACAAGATCCCAATCCCTCAGCCAATGACGCTTATATTATGATCCGCCACAACCAGCACTTCCGGAAATTTGCAAGAGTGCACCAACCACATCCACCCAGGAACGGTAGCTAATGGCAACTATACAAAGGACACAAAACGTAGTGGTTTGCCAGGGCTACATTCGTCTCCCTCAAACTACTAAGGCGATTTAACAGCTAGTACTGTACGTGGTACTATTCTTAGCCACCGCCGTTTTGTTTTTCGCGGATCAGCCTCATTCGCTCCTTGTGCCGTTCCATTGCAAGCTCGTTTCGCTTTTGCACTGACGGAGCGGATGTGGAACTGCTGGTGCCTTCGTACCTTTGTGTCATCTTCTGCAGCAAAAGATGCTCCTTCCCCTTGAACTTCTCCATGATAATGTCAATGCGGTTCACCTTGCTCTTGTCGTGCTTTTCGAGCAGGGAAAGGACTTGGCTGCGGATTTCGGCGATGTCGTGCTCGGCTTCGGGTTGTCGCTGGTCTTCTTTTTCCTGTTCGTTCGTGGTCTCATCGGTAATATCCTCGCTTCCAGACGCGGCAACAACAACTTCAGCAGCAACATTAACTTCGCTGCCAGCTGAAGGCCTACGACTGGGACTACCCTTGCGGAGTGGGCTTTGACTCCTTACATTGGATCCACGCGCCCGCAGTGGGCTCTTCCCACGCAGCGGGCTACTTCCACGAGATCCTGAGAGGAGAGCGTGGACGACCGAGTCGCTCTCCCCAGCGTTCGCAGCTGGTGCGGGGGCAGGACCGCTAACACTACTAGATTTTGCGGAAGCATTGGAGGTCACAACTGCAAGATCTGACTCGCCAGACTTGACAGTGTCATTGCCTCGTGGTGGTCCCCCACCACCTGGCCTTGATGGAAGTGGAAGCTGGTCCACCACCTTGCTGCTGCCAGTGTTATTATTTCCAGGAATGCTGCGTCCTCTGGCGCTAAGAACCTGTGCTCTCCGGGCACGTAGACTGGATGCAGACGCTGCGTCCTTGGCGACACGTAAATCATGGTGTAGCTTGTCAAGTTTCCTCTCCTTGTCCATCATGTCTTGTTCCATCTTCTCGTACTCGCGTGTCTTCTTCGTGATTGCTTGCTGCACCTTGCGGAGTTCCTTCTTCACCTTCTCAAGTTCTTCAGACGTCTCTTCCCGCATCCGCTTCTCCTTTTGCCAGCGAGCAGCCATATCCGTGTTGTTCTTGCGCAGAACATCCAGAGTGCGAGTGTCAGACCTACTTTCCTTCCTCGTTTGCTGCATAGTCTGAAGCTTGTCTTGGATTCGAGTGTTGTCGCGCTTGAGCGAATGAAGTTGCGACTCGGATCTCTCCTTGGCGGTAGTGATAGCCTTGAGCTCCTGCGTGAGAGTCTTGACGGTTTCTTCCAAATTCTTGGACGTAACATTGCGCTGGGCAGCTCCAATTTGAATGCGCCGGACGCGAATAGCGAATTGCAGAGCGTGCACGGACTCGTCGCATGCAACCTCCGTGGGACACACAGCAACAATCATCATGGTCCTCGAGTTGCCACCAAGCGAGTCTTGAAGCAAGTAGGTGAGCTTGCTGTCTCTGTACGGCACGTGAGATGCCTTGCGATCCAATGCCTCCATGACATTTCCAAGTGCCGACAACGATTTGTTAATGTATCCAGCCTCTCGCAGCTCCTGACCGTGAACATTACTCTTCCTAACACGTTCCGAACCAGCCAAATCGACCAGATACAGCATACCCTTGTTGCTGGGTACGCCGTCTAGACCAGAGTTCACATGCACAATTAGAACCATATGAGATCGAGAACTGTGCTCGTTGAGGTCAGTTGCTGCAGTGGCACGATTCTCGTTCCCCTTCTTCAAGAGCGTCATCACATCTTCGATCGACTGGACCGAATTTTTCGAAAGACTGGGGACCTCGATGCGGCCTTCCTTGTTCTTGCGGATTTCAAGAGACGCCTTGCCGCCAGAAGCCTTGGCTTGATCAATCTTGTCATTAATGGACGAACTGTCAGACCCCAACAGGTCATAGATTTCATCATTGTAGATTTCAAGCATACTCAGCTCCAAATCGAAGGTGAAAGACACCGACCTGCCGTTTCCAGGAACTGACGAGCCGTCAGGGCCCTCTTCAGACACAGGAACCTCTCCCGGTTGTCCAACGATGAGTTCGGCTGCACGTTGCTGCTGGGCTCGGAGGTTAAGAAGATGGAAAACTTTCTGAATGGTACGGTAACTGATACCGTGTTGATTTCCTTCGACAGCTCCTTCCATGGTGTACGTTTTTCCACTTCCACTGTTGCGCATAAACAGAGATTTTGACAAATGCAACATCAGGATCGCTAATTTGAAAAGATACAAGATCGCAGCCGCGAGAGAGAGAGCACTTACGTCTGACCATAGGCAAAGATACATGCGTTGTACCCGTCGACGACACTCAAAGCAACAGGTTCAACATCCTGGAAAATAGCTTGTTGTGACTGATCCGGACCCCAGACACGGTCGAAACCAAAGGACTTCCATTTATTGGTGCGTGAATCGAAGCACCCAACCTCGGTCTCCGAAAGAGCTTCCACGACACCCTTGTAGCCGCGTTGAATCTCAGGGACGGTCATGGGGCGTACACGGCAGTATACCTGGATGTTTCCTTGGAGGCTCAACATCTTGCTCAGCAACTGAGCGTTGTATTCTCTCTGTGCATTTACCTTGTGGTGGAGTCCCCTGAGTTCCTCCGCCATTAGCCCGGTATCACGCGAATCAATAATGTCGTCCAAACGATCTCGTCCCATTTCGGCTGCAGTCATTACATCCATTCCACGTTCCGCGCTGCCGAGCGACGACAAGCGAGACATTTGCGTAACAGCACCTACAGGGTTTTTGTTGGATCCAGAAAGTTCTTGTTGGAGCACTCGAATGTCTTCTTCGAGCCTCTTGATGCGGGCTTCGCTCATACGCTTCTGGTCTTTTAGAGCTTCAAATTCTTCGCGCAGCTCCTTGTATTTCTTTGACTCCTCTGAAAGGCGAAAACCCATACGGTCCACAGAACAAGGAGAGCTGGATCGAGCACGACGCCTGGGGCGACCCAAACGACGAGGCTCCGACGACTCGAAAGAACGAGATTGTAGGCGACTAATGTCATCACGACTCTCCTCTTCGTCGCCATGATATTCGTCCAATTTTCGGCGGTTGGCTGATTGCGCAGCATCAATGCCCTTGTCGCGCTTCAGAATGATCATACGGGATTCTGTTTCAGCAAGTTTGCTCTTTGTGGAGTTGAGCTCATGCTCCAATTTGGTGACGAGTTCCTCTGCACTGCCCAAACGTTCCTCCAAGCCAGAAACCATAGAGGTGAGCTCCTTGTCCTTGGCGCCGACATCGTCTTTGGCCTTTACGAGTTGTTGCTGCAGTTTCTTGACCATTTCGGTTTGTGCCAGAGCATTGTCAATATTCTTGTCCTGCGTATCCTTAACTTGGCCGAGGGCAATTTCTGCGTCATCCAATTTAGACTGTAGAGCTTCATTTTCGTCTGACAGGCTTCTGAGTTCTTGTTTGAATTGTTGGGCTTTAGCGTCGGCCTCTTGACGCAGGGAGCGAGTTGCCGCCTCTCGTCCGGATTTTTCTGATTCTTGCACCGCTTCATCAAATCGCGACGAAACTGCTTCGAGCTCATCCAACAATGATTGGTAGTCGTTCTTGCTGTTGTTGAGTGCCTGGTTCAAGTGGGCAATTTCCTCTTTGAGTTTGAAGGTTTCGCTGGTGTTGTTTTGAAGCGACTCTTGTAGCGTCTTTTCCATGACGGCCACTTCTGACTTGGCCGTTTTGCATTCCATCTCTAATTCTTGAAGTGCCATCTTGAGTTTGTGAACCTCTTCGCGGTGCTCTGCTCGCACTTCGTCGGCATTCTTGACCAAATCTCCCTCGTGCTCTTCATGAGCCTTGAGATCACTTTCCAGGAGTTTCAATTTTTCTTTGGCGAGTTCCAACTCTTCGGTCAGCTTGTGTCGTTCTTCCAAATGATCAGAATTTTCTTTCTGCAGAAACTTGAGGAGTTCGGAGTTCTTGGCATTTTCGGAGTTGGAAACATCATCCAATTGTTGCTGCTTACTTTCTAGTCTAGCAACCAGCGTGTCTGAAGCACGAAGTTTGTCTTCTGTGGTTGTCAATCGTTTTTCGGTTTCAATGAGCTGTTCTGTCACCAATTCCAATTCCTCTTCTAATTTTTTGGCGTATGCGTCATCTGCAAAAGCACTAGAATCATTTTGGTCGGTACGGAAGGAGTCATCCTCTGGTCCTCCAGAGGAACCATTGTTATTTTGTTGCGTGTTCTGCAGTTGCCTGGCCTTGGCAATCAAATCTCCACGAATTTCCTCCAGCTCCTCCCTGAGCTGTTCTTTTTCAATTTCCATTTCGAGTTTGTTTTCTTCAATTTCGCTCTCTTTAAAGGCTAGCTCTTCGTGGAGGGCGTCATTTTCACGTTGAAGCTGTTGGACGGAACCTTCTACTTCTCTGAGGCGAGCCTCGGCCATCTCCTGGCCCTGCTCCGCGTGTCGACGCAAACGCTGCTCCTCCTTCCATTGTCGCCTTGAATCTGTAAGACTATTTTCCAGACTCGTTAACTGAGGAGCAATATTTTCCAGTTGCATGCTGAGCGCTGCATTGGCAGCCGATGACTCGGCCAATTTCTCCTCTGTGGTTGGACGAGAAAGGTTGGGTGTGAGAGAAATTTCCCCACGTTCACGCTCCACACCAAAAAGCAAAGTGCCAACCAATGACTGATGATTTGAGTGCATCTCTTCTCTACTTACGCATTTTGGCCAATTCCGCATCGAGCTCTTCTTCTAGCTCACGCGAACTGGCAATGTACTCATCAAAGGCCGATTGAAGCGCAGCGAGCTCTGCCTCACGCTCCGCCATGGTTGGCGTCATTTGCGACATGGTGAAGGCCAATGACTACTACACCCCTACTACCAGCTACAACCACAAATACAACACAGCAGCCTACACAAAACAATGCCCAGGGTCTCGTTGACCCAGCCTTGTGTTCGTTCCTCCTACTGATACAAGTAAGTGCCTCTTTGTTGACCTAAAGGTCACAATCGTCCTCGTCAGCGGCAAGCTATCTTTTTTAACAAGAGAGGAGCAAAATCAATTTTTCGTTGGTCTTTTATCTTCTCCTTTTCGTGTCGTCAGTCGATCCGTTGTTGGAAAAAGGGATCCACACCGCCTGCATGCTCGCAGTGTGGAGTTTAGTCCTGAGCGCGAGTTCCGAATGCTTCCCGCAGGCTCACCTATCGCATCGGTACCTAACTAGCTGTACGTTATGATAGGAAGCACAGTTGTTCCGGTATTCATCGTAGCCCGGAATGCTTGAAGCATGTGTGTGGATCGAGCGCTTTCCGAAAGTCTAGAGCTGGAGCTCACCCCAAGCAAGGAGTGCATCATACCGTATGGGTCACACCGGGGTTAAGTAGCAAAGAATAGTCGAAATTGAGGACTAGGTTCCGTGGGATCAGGGGCGATAAATTGAGGGCCAGTACGGGGGCCAAAGGGCTTGGCTTTGCTGGATCCACGGACTCGGAGACATGAATGGGCAGCTTTCAAGGGATCGAGCCTGTCATATTCTTCCTACGGTATTCCAAAAGGTTTTTTTTTTCTTTTGTTTTCGGACAAGACTACTCGGAAAGATCTGAGACTCAGCGACTTGAATGTGAAGTCCAACATTGCCCCTTCGACGCACGCCTTGGGCAGCACAATTTTTATGCACCTAGCTAGCTAGCTAGACGGAACTGCCAGTTCACTGTGTACCCCGCCTGCTCGTCTCGGGGCCCATTGCCGGACTGGTACAATCTTCCAGACCAGTACGGGGATGAGCAAAATTGCCCATAGCCCTGCATTGTAATTGATAGCGCTTTTTGTAACAGTGTATGTGAAAAAGCGAATATTTGTTTTGGGCTTTCTATTGGATTAGATCGGATTGAATTGAATTGAATTGGATTGCATTGAATTCCAGTTTACTATACAAATAACGCCCACCTTCCCAGACAGGGAATGAATAGATTCTACAGAACGGAGAGTATGAGTTAACAGGGAGCCGACCATAAGGAGACTGACGGACAGGAATCCGGGAGAGCCACCCATCCAAGGATGAGGTGGTGGACCGAAGTGTCGGGTGCACAGGTGGTGTGCCTATGTGGTGTTGATGACTAGCTAGAAGGACTACTAACCGGGCAGCTACAAATCAGGTTCACTTTTTCTGAACCAGAGTTGCAGCCGCCCGACACCAATTTTCCTTTTTGACTGGGGGTAATTAGTGTGAGCGTCCGCAACCTGAAAAAGTATCTGTTGCCCGACAGAGACCGCCTCCCTCTCCAAATTTTTACTCTGAAGAAAAGTAAGCATGGACTTAGAGTTTGATGACGCCAGCGGCGGGTCACGCAGTGTGACTTCCTTAGGGTCCGGTGCCGGAGATGGGGAAGTGTTGATGTCGGAGATGGCGGCGTTTGCACACCGGCCGAGTGGTGTGTGAGGAAGTGTTTTGCCGAGCCGATTCGTCGAAGGGTACCTCTACGTCTGTTTCAGTGACCATGGGGTCGACTGTAACCGAGGCAGCCACCGAGGGTGTTGGAGGTTGTATTACAGACACCTCAATACAAATTATTCGTTTATCCCATCTAGTTTAGAGGGGATATCTATATCTATTCTCTAGTTAATACATGGGGAGTTTAACTGATCTATATGGTCACCCCCTTCACTATATCCTTTGAAGTTGAATCAATCCCAGAAATACATGGAGAAAGATCACTTCTTGGAAATAGCTTAACAGTAAAACAGTATTTTACCTTTACTAAGCTAGAGTGTTACTAGAAACCAACACTATTTCCAAGAAGAGTTTCATCTCTCGAATTCGAGATTTCGAGATATCGACATTGACCTCAATGGCAATCACTGAGTCCATGCTAAGGTAAACATCAAACGGTTCAGGCAGACAGTGCTATAGCCCCACTATAAGGGCTACCAAAACAGCTCAACAGGCGAAATTCCGCATCAGGGAAGAATCACGAATTCCCATTGAGCATAAGCTACACCGGAGTGATCCGTCATTCATGAGACGACCCAATCGGAACAAAGTAAGCATATCCTGTGAAAGAGCATCACTAACTACACCAGTTCTATGCTTGAAGGAAACGAATCCAACAAGAACTGATTGAGTTACGCTGATTGAAGATCTAGAAGTGAGCTCCGGATCAAGGAAGCAAGCTCACAGGAGTGAGCCAGAAGCGAGCTCACAGGAGTGAGCAGGAACGCTCTAAGAACCCAAGATTTGTGCTGCGGAAACAGCAATCGTGGAAACCACGAGACCGTGCAAGCCACAAGAACAACTACAGGAGTGGCGACAGAGGTTGCCACGAAGACACGAAGACGCCAAGCTCACAGGAGTGAGCGAAACAACGTCAAGACCTCGAGCTGTGGAACACAGCCAACACTAGCTGTGTTCGTAGTGCAAGAGTGTGGCCAAGCTATCTAGCTAGCTACCACAACGAGTCAATCCGACAAGAACAAGGCTTCCGGCGAGCCGGAGCCAAGGAAGCTAGGCTACTGTAAAGAACAGAGCGCAGCAAGGCTACTACGGTTTGAACCGTGCAAGCCAAGAGGAGCGACACGAACATCAAGTTGTGTCAACCGGAAGAGGAACAAGATAACAAGTTCCAACAGGAACCATAGAGGTACTTCCGTGGGAGTTCCTCCAGCCTCACTATCAAGCCATCGAATTGGTGCTGATAGAGGAGAGGTGCGTGACGGAAAGCCCAAACTTCCGCAGGCCGATTGCACGGCAACGACAGGTCCTACGGAAGGACTGTCATACAACAAGTTGTGCTACGAACACTAGCGCAACAGGCTCAACAAGGTAGACGCACTCAAAACGCCGAGGAAGGAAGATTCATCCAACGGCGACAGCGTCATTGCGACCATCGGCAAGAGCGAATTTGCAAATTTTGCAATTCCACCAGTCAAGAACAAGACGATCCAAGCGACTGAGTGCAGTGGCGACAACAGTTGCTGCTGCTACCACCGCTAGCCGCTACGATCAACAAGAACGACGACGCCATCATCGGCCATCAATACCGATAGTGGCAACAGCGCCAGTGTGTGTGTTGGCAACAAGCCAACGAGCGATCGAACTGCCGAAGCTACTACTGGTACTATTAGCAAGTCGCTACAGCGACAACAACAAGAAGAACGGCCACTAGCCAGTCGTCGCTACTGCTACTGCTACTGCTACCGCTACCACAAGAACAAGCTATCGGTTGTTGATACTGATCGGCAGCTACTGTCCACAAGAAGAAGACTTTGCTTTTTGTGAGAAAATCGCTGACAGCAACCAGTTCCACGGAACGGCAAAGAACAGCCTACAGTTCAGCGAAAAGCAGAACCACTGAACGGCCAAAAAGGTATCTTTCGAGGTATCTTTGCCGCACGGAGCCAGATCTCGCAATCTCTCCGTACGTCGGCAACAAGAGGATTCAACAAGAGGATTCCACGGCGAATCCAAGACAAGTCTACGGGATATCAACCAACACTGTCATGCACCGGATAGCTAGCTAGCTAGCCAACCGACCGGCACAAGAGCTATTGCAGCAGTGCAAAGCAACAGGAAGTACAGTGCATCCGTACAAGCTACAGCTAGAGGAAGCACAGGAGTGTGCAACCTCCAGCATTGAATATTTTCTTTGGAGTGTGTATTGAGTTTACTCAACACCTCCTACCTTTCATGGATTGTGTATTGTGGCATCCAAGCCACAGCACTTCCTCCCTGATTACAGGCAAACCTGAGGCAACAACAGCCTCCAGGCAGGTAACAACCGATACCATTACAAGTCTATGCCCTTGCTATTTGATCACAGCAAGTGCACAGGAGTGTGAGGGTACCCAAATCCAAAACCTACAATCCTACAAACAAAATCATCATAACATCCGCCTTTATAGGCAATGCCGCAACCATCAACGGCACCAATGGCCACAACTACATGGCCAACAACCATCAATGGCTACAACAACCGCCAGCATCAATGGCAACAACAGCCAACAACGGTATCTACGGCTACCAAACCGATTACAACGAAATCGACCAAACCAAAACCTGAATTGCATCTACAATAACGGCAACTGCAACAACAGCAGAACGACAGT